AATAACAAGCAAACCAGGACGAAAAGAAGTACCCCTTGATGACGAGCCACTACTGGTAGAAGTAGCATTGAGAAAATTTGTATCAGAATATCTCATGAAGCATCCGGTGTAAAAGGCTCTACCTTCTGACCAAGGTAAGCATCCCAACATGGATTCAGATGCATTTTGCAAACACGCTGCACAGGAGCTTGCGCTCAGCGTCTTCCAGCAATCAGCGAGAACATAAGCTGTCGCATTAGAAGGACTTGGCCCTGACACTTGAGCACGTGCATAGCCATTATTAGTCGGTGCATTTACAACGGCTTGCTGAATGGCTCGCCTAGCGTTCTGTTGGAACAATGTACCCTTTCTCGTCCTGTTTCCACATATATGCATATCCTCTGGACCTAAATACTGGTCGTAGAATGTGTAACTCTCCGCTCGCACAAAGCATCCATCAAGATAAATTCGCCCTCCGTTATGAGGGAAGCACCGGGGCAAAATTTTTCGCGCTTCAGCATAGCATAAGGTACAGTCGGGTAAAGAAAGATCATCATAGCATTGGGCAAGTGCATAGCTAGTATCTGGTTCAGTGACAGAAACTGCAACTCCATATCCTCCTTTTCTGATTTGTTGGCTTACAGTTTCCATAGCTGCAACAAAGTTTCGGACATAAATTGTCCAATTATGCAGGAGTTGAGTGTTACATAAGATCATGACGGTCTGCGATGTTGGTTCACACACTGATGTATCTAGTAAATGTAGGATCAACACAATAGCAAAGAGGTTACATAAAATTGAAGGGGCTGGTATCTCCATCTTGCCAAATGAACTGTACAACAGAGAAAATAATGTGAGAGGACTAATTGATCAAATGACTAAACTGATAATTTTTTTCCATACCCGAGACCTCGTATTTAAGGGTGAAGCACTCCCTAGTGCGCACCAGTGGCAGAGCCAGAATTTTCAATAAGGGGTTCAATAACCGTAGAAATAGACACACATAGTAGCCGAAGAAGGTTCGACATCTACTATATATACATAAAAAAAAATATTTCAACCATAATAAATAATATAATTTTTCGCTGAACGGGGTTCGAATGAACCCCCTTAATACAAGGTGAATCCGCCACTGCAGTGCACCACAACCCAAGTTGGTAAAGATCTCTGAAATTAATTAACTATCAGTCTTTGGATACAAATCTCTAATTCATGATTACTATATTTTGTAAGAAACAATCTTGCATTATTAAATTTTATGCTCAATAAAAATTAAAACATATAAAATATGAAATAAAGTAAGTAAGAGCCTGTTTGGATTGAATTAAAAGTTGGCCAAACCTACTTTTAAGTAGCTTTTAGCTTTTGGAAGCGTTTGACAAGATTAAAAATATCTTAAAGTAAGATTAAAATGACTTGAAGGTTAAAAACTAATAGTAGGTTTCCCTCTATTTTTTCATTAAAAGAAATTTTAATTTAACTTTTTATTTTTTAACTTAAAAACTACCTAAGAAAATGTCCGTTTTAATAGGAAAATGTATATTCTACTTCAATTTGTTAAAAAATAAGAAATAATTTATTTATTTATTTTTTATCGTTAGCTTATAAAAATAAATGAACCAATTATTACAATCTTATATATATATGACCCATATTATCAATTAAAATAATAAATGTAGTAATTCTATTTTAATTGTTAAAATGAGATTAAGAAAAGAAAAATATTATTTCCTACTTATTTATAAGTTGAAGTGATTTTAAAAGAAGAATAAGAATAAGAATAAAGTTCTTTAAAAAGAAAATTGTATGAAATACAAAACTATTAATTCAAAATAAATATTATAACCACAGTTTCATTTAATTCTAATTCGTAACTAACACTTTGTCATTCAACTCTCTCCCCTGAATCTCATTCGCCACTCTCACTTACGTAGGATAAAAAAACATGTAGAATGTCATGTAGGACATGTGTGTCCATTTGTTCAAGTTTATACAAGTTTAAGTATCTACTTGTGCACACCCAAAGTTGAAGAGTATAATTGTGAATTGAAGCCAAGTTAAAGGGTATATTTATGTAAAAATACATAAGTATTCACTCAACCTATGTCTGACATCACAGATACACACTTATACTATACTTAAGTCTTATTACCCTCTAATTTTTTTTTATAAATAATTATCTAATTCTTTTCATCCTACGTGACACTATCAATCATGTCATTTGAAAAAATTGTCAGCACGCGAGGAGCTGAGAAGATAATGCCACATAGGTCGAAAAGGAGTAGAAAATTATTTATAAAATAAGTTCAGGAGTGCAATAAGACCTTAGCATAGTATGATTGTGTCTCTGAGATTTCGGGCATAGATTAGGGTACTTATGCATTTTTCCAATATTTAACGATGTATATTTTCATCATATTGATATGCAAAAAAATTGTAATTTATAGTACTTTTCGTATAACTTTTCAATATCTTTTTTTATAAAAGAAAATATCGAATAATGTTTTACTAATCAAATTGACTTTTGAAAAACACAACTTCATAAATAAAAATGAACGGAAAAAGTAACAATAAGGATACTTCTGGATCAAATCCCAAATTCAGCTCAGATAAAAGAGCTCACTAAGAACTTCATCTCCAAGGCTCGAACTCGATACCTCAATTATCGAATCTCAATGAAAATAGAAAGAAGAAAAGAATACTCACAGAGTTTTTCCGAGCTCTGAACTCGCCGGATTTTGAGCCGGAAAAGAGAGATCGCCGGTGAAAACTGATCAGCTGCAGTCAAAGTTGTAGAAACAGAGAGAAAACATGAAAAAGATGAAGGGCAATTTCATATTTGATTAATGGGTTGTTTTGTGAGGAAAATCTTTTCTATTTTCCCAACTTGTCGGTTTTCTAAATTGGCGTTCGATATTTAGATTGGAATATCTTAAATTTGAATCATGTTGAAAAAAATTATATTGTGGAAAGAAAGTAATTCGGTCTAATATCTATATTGGAGTGACTAAATTTAAACACGCTAAAAAAAATTATATTGAGGGAAAAAAATATTTTCTATGAAAGAGTTCGAATTTACAATTTCTAATATTATGATTTTTTTTTTTTGTGTGTGTGAATTGTGAAGTTGTGAACCAAAGGAAATTTGTTGGATATTTTAAAAATAAACACAAGTCAACAAGGGTCTTTCTCTATTGTAACAAAAGTTTGATTTGAAATAAAAATTAACAAGAAAACAATGTTTTTTGTGATATTTGACATGTGATAATTCTTTGTGTGGATACAATTTTTTTGAAGTTTGTCTTTAAAAAAAATACTATAATATTTGTGATATTAATGGCCGTTTGGTTTGACTATAAATTATGTTGGAATCAATTATGTTGGGATAAGTTAAACTATGATAATTTATGCTAAGATTCATTAATTTTGGTTACTTGTTTGGTTTGTCACAATCAAATTATATTCATTGCATAATTTTTAAGAATAAATTTTTTATTAACAAATATATCCTTCACTTTATTTAGATTTTTTTATTACATTTTCTATGCGAGTTTTAGTTATTCTTTCTTAAAAATAAATTTTCATTAAATATTTTTGGGAGTACATTTTCATGATTGTGCCGTGTGTTTTTTAAATTAAAATTTCTTCTTATTTAACTTAAAAATAAAACTTCCATCTTGTTTAGGTTAAAAATAAATTCCATTTATTTAGCTTAAAAATTAAACTTTCATCTTATTTAGCTTAAAATAAGATTTCCTTTTAAGTTTATTAAAAGTAAAAAAAGTATTATTAAAGTTATCTACATTTTAATTGATATATTAAATATATTATTAAGTGAGTAACAAACTATTTAATTAAAAATATGCAATTTAGTAGTGAAGTGAATATTTTGAGAGAAATCATAATATAAATAAACATAATAATTAAGCAAATAAATTCAAACTTTATTAATTCATAAATAAAAATTATATTTATAAAATGTACTTTTTTAATAAAAAAAAATATTATTATAAGAACAACAAATAATTAAGATTGTGAATGTAATTATAAATGGTGTTAAAAATTATGTTAATATACATGAATGTAAATTGGTATATGAAAGTGGGGTTAAGGAGGATTTTTTCTGTTATTTTACCTACCTAATCCCGGGATATGTTATTTTGAGATTTTTATCCCATCCCTAAGAGGGACAACTTATTCCAGGACTAATTGTTAATCCCGAAATAGGTTATTTCACTCTTGGCAACCAAACAACAGATTAAAGACCACTAAAAAATTATACTCGTATTAAATCTTTTTGTCCATCACACCAAATGACCCTAAAGGTTTCTTATGCGTCCTTACTAGAGATCGATGTGAGAAATAAGAGTAAGGCTTTTTAGGAAGTTTTTAAAACTTTTTAAATTTATTTACAAGTTGCTTGCTTGATTGCAAATCTTTTTAAAAAGTTATCACTTTCAACCACTACCATCACCGCAATCAATTCCTACCACCAATAAACTCCGGTATCACAACTAGAACCACTATCAAACACCACCATACATTAATTCTTCAATCACCACCACCGTCATCACCACTTCCACCACTACTATTAGTCATTACCACTACCACCAGTATGGTCAATCTCTACTACCAATCACCTCCATCATCATAACTAGCATTGCCGCCAGCTACCACAAACTCATCATCAACCACCAGACATTCTTCAGGCATCATCATTATCACCACCAACCACTAATATCAACCAACTTCACCATTACAACTACCAAACACCACTACCAATAGCCATTATTGACAGTTATCAGAACATCAACCACCCCCACTATTATTACTAGACACTAACAACAACTATTACCATCACCAGCCACCACCACCACTGCAAAGTATCTCCACCATCTTTAGCAAGCAAAAATGTTCTTTTTAATAAAAAAAAAACAAATAGTGATTTTGTTTTATTAATATTTTATTATATTTTGTTTGAATTGTATATTTATTATGTATATATAAATAAATTATGTATGTTCAGATGTTGAAACAAACCATCTTAATCAGTCAAATGTACATTCAGAATCAAACATCTAAATCTTAATGAAAACAAATGAGGCCTCACATCCACATTGAATCCCAAAATAGGTGTCTAGATGTGCATAGCCAAAAGTGGAGTGTTTGATGGCCAGTTGAGGTCAATTTAATGTGTCTATCTATATATCATGCCTACAATTTATAATTCATTTTCAGGGCATTGGGATATCATCATCTGGGGTAAAATGAACTGTGAGATAAGTTGGCAATCGTAGCAGAAGCGCCTTCTTTTATCGAGTACTTCTCCCTAGGGTTATGAGTTTCCATGGTTTTCTCTTCCACGAATGGCGGCTTAGTAGGAGGAGGCAACTCTTCGTCTTTCTTGATGAACATTTGTAATGCCTTGGACATGGATGGACGTAACGTTGGGATCTCTTGAGTGCACAAAAGTCCCACATGCAACACTCTTGCAACCTCATTTTTCACATTTATTGTATGGTTGTTATGCAACATGAGATTCGGATCGAACAGATCCTCCACTATCCCACGTTGAAAGTGCTCCCATGCCTGTTAATTTCATCCAATAAAGTTAAGATCAATGAATCGTAAATGTTGGTTCAAGAGAGAAGCGATTGATCAGAAATTACATCGGAAACTAAGCTGACTGTATATTCGGCGTTGTTTCTCTTGTTATTTTGTCTTCCAGTAACAATCTCTAGTAGAAGAACTCCAAAGCTGTAGATGTCTACTTTTTCTGTTAGTTGACCGCGCGCTAAGTATTCTGGAGCCATATATCCTCTGCATAAAAAGGTTAAATCATCTATATTTTGGTGTAGTTTTATACGAAAAATTAGAAGATGAAATGAAGAAATACTAACAATGTGCCAGCAATGGCAGTGCTTGTGTGACTCTTGTCTGCTTGAAACGACCTGGCCAGCCCAAAATCAGCAATCTTTGCACGGAGCCTCGAGTCCAACAGGATGTTGCTTGCCTTAATGTCTCTGTGAATTATTCGTGTATTTGTGTTCTCGTGTAGGTATACCATTCCTTCTGCTGTCCCTACAATTATCTCAAATCTTTTCTCCCAATTTAGAGCTTTACCTTTGATAGGGTCTGTCAAATTTAAAGTTAGAATCAATATACGCGATAAAATCATTCAGGCTTGCCATGTGAAAACATACCACTTTAGTCTTAATGCAAAGTCGGTTACTCAAGTGTTTTTTTTAGTTGGAGCAATGATGACATGAGTTTTAGCTTAAATAGTATAGTTAGGATTCATATAGCCGACAGCTACTTTGTTCGGGACTGAAGCATAGTAGTGTTGTAGTAAAGTTCGGTTACTTACCAAATATGAAGCGATCAAGACTCTGGTTAGGGAGTAACTCGTATACAAGAAGGCTTTCCGGTCCTGAGCAGCTGCATCCTAATAACCTTGTCAAATTTTTGTGCTGGACGCTACTGATAATGTTAACCTCGTTATAAAAATCTGCAGCTCTGTGTTTGTTGTTGAAGAACAGCCTTTTGACGGCGATCTCTCTTCCGTCTGCCAAAACACCCTGCAACAAATTGTGTCTCAAACTCTGTTTAATTGTCTTGCTGTTATCATTCAGCCATTACATACCTTATAAACTGTGCCAAATCCGCCTTGCCCGAGCTTGTTGGCCTCATCAAATGACCCCGTGGCTTTGTCAAGTGCCGAATACTTGAAGTTCTCAACATCATTTGCACCTAACAAGTTCAAATTTCCGAGGAAAAGCACAAGTAGGCCATAACGCCTCAAGTTAATTCTTGAAAGTTGTCTCGGTACAGTTATGTGCAAATCGCAAGATATTTTTGTAACAAAAGTATTTACCTTTTCTCTTCTGCTGGATTTGTTTCTTCTTCCAGACACCAAAAACAACAAAAATAGCTGCTCCCAGAACGACAACGGAACTAATTACAACAATTATGACAATGACTACAACTTTTCCTGCATTATGATGATTTTAAATTTAAGATTAGTTGATATATAACAGGTAAACCAGGACGAAGAACGAGCTAAACGTACCCCTTGATGACGAACCTCCACTGGTAGAAGTATCATCGAGAAAATTTGAATCAGAATACCTCATGAAGCATCCAGTGTAAAGGGCTCTACCTTCAGACCAAGGTAAGCATCCCAACATAGATGCAGATGCATTTCGCAAACACGCTGCGCAGGAGTTCGCGTTCAGTGTCTTCCAACAATCAGCGAGAACGTAAGCTGTTTCGTTGAAAGGACCGTGTACTGACACTTCGGCACGTGCATAACCATCATTACTCGGTGCATTTGCAACAGCTTTCTGCACGGCTCGCCTAGCATTCTGTTGGAACAATGCACCCTTTTTCGTCCTGTTTCCGCATAAATGCCTATCCTCTGGACCTAAATACTGGTCATAGAACATGTAATCATCCACTCGAAAAAAGCATCCATCAAGATAAATTCTACGTCCGTTATAAGGGTAGCATTGGGGCAGGAGAGCTTCCGCTTCAGTGAAGCATAAGACGCAGTCGACTAAAGAAAAATTATTATAGCATTGGGCAAGTGCATAGTTAGTATCTAATCCAGTACCGGTAACTGCTACTCCATATCCTCTAGTTCTCATTTGTTGACTTATGTTTTTCGTTGTATCCATATAATTTGTGACGTTAGCCCCCGTTTCGTTTCCACATACGATCTGGACTATCTGAGATGTCGATTCAGCCACTGATGTATCAGATAGAAGTAGAATCAACACAATAACACAGAGACTACACAAAATTGAAGGGGTTACTCTTTCCATTTCTCCAGATGAGCTGTATCACATAGAATGAGAAATATATCATTGACATTGAAATAACAATAAATTTTCGCTCGACATAAGTTTATATTTTCGTATCATAATATGTCGATCAAGGCATAAGTTCAATTCAGAACCCTTACGTCGTAAAAGACAGAACTAGTTCCTACAAAACTTATGATGAGCAAGCCTCCGAAGTAGCGACTTGATGAAAAAACTCTTGAATCCCTTAGCTTGGCCACAACCATTAGTCATCATCACTAACGAGCATTACCACAATTACGGATGGATTTTAGCAAGGTGTGAATGGAAAATAAGAACGAACGAGTTTTTTTCTATTTCTGTTTTTACTAACCTGAATATAACAATAACCATCAATCATTACGAACAATCACCACTATATACCTACCAACGTTTATATATCATCAATCACCATTAGTCATCACACTTATTAGCTATTACTATCATCCACCACAATTATCAGTAGCCAACGCTACTACCATCAATTCGATTTTATCAACCACCCCATCAATAGTAGCCCCCGGCCTATCGGCAACCACAACTACTATCGCGAAAACAATTAGGATAATTTTTCTATACTGATACTAAGACATAATCATATAGCATCTAAATGAAAACAGAAAGAACAGAAAACTTACATTTTCCGGATTTCGAGTCGGAGAAAGAGATCACCTGTGCAAACTGATCAGCCGCTGTCAAAGATGAAGAAACAAAGTGAAATGAAGTATTTTTTGGTTTTTCAACTTGGTGTTTGATATCAATGAAATTTCATATTGAAGGTAAAGATTAATAAAGATGACTTTGTAACTAACTACACTCAAACTTGAACTTCTGATGAAAAATGAAAGAGTACTTACCACTCCATCACGACTTTTTATCATTTTTCAGTGACAGAAGTCAATACAAGAGATGATGGTGATAGATAATGGGAAGAAAATGGTTGAATAAAAGAGACAAAAGGGATTTTTTAAAATTAATGAGTAAAACAGGAAATGGTAAGAGCAGTTTTACTTTTGCTTTTTGTTTTTTCAGTCGAGTGTCCGATATTCATATTGAAGCAGATTGAATTTGAATTCGTATCGGGAAGTAGTTCCAAATTAGGGTTTATACGTATTCTAACAAAGACAATTATATACTCAAGAAGGCTCAAACCCAAACCTTCTGATTACTGATGAAGTAGTTAACACTCCACCACAATTTTTTTTGTTTTTTTCTTTGAGATAGAAGTCAACAAGAGGAAATAATTTGTGGAAAAATCATTTGTTTGAATTTTTCAAAGAGTAACAGTAACTCCCTATTTGATTGTTGGGTTTATATATATTAATTCCCATTACTGACTAAACCAAAATAAAAAAGGAGAAGACATAAGATACTCTCCTGTTTTAATTTACGTGACACTGTTTGATTTGATACGGGTTTAAGAACGAAAAATATTTTTAAAATTTGTGATCTTCGACTTATTATTACTATTCAGGATAAAATATGCAAATGTGAATTTTAACCTTATTTTTACTTAACAATGATTATTTACAAGGCTTAAGTCAACCAATAATGTTGTGGCTCAACTGATACAGTGGGGACGAGTTGAAGTGTTTAGATGTGCATACTCACAGTTGTCATCTCTGTCCAAGACCTCAAACGACTAGGTCAAAGTCCAACTTTTGGTGTGCATAAATAGGTACTTGAACAAATACACACACATCTTACGTGACATACTACATGAAAATCTATGTCCTCCGTGTATTATGCCACATAACTTTATATAAATTTAAGTGTCTGTATATAAAATTATGAATTACACTTCACATATCTTGTACAAGACAAACTTAAAGAACTTACATAGAACATCCTTGCAACCCAAGGGGACTCGACTTAGATCAATATTGAATACCGAACAGTATAAAAAATACAAAAAAATCCCAAACCTCCCCCCCCCCCCCCCCTCGTGTCATTTCAGAGTTGAGGTGTCTAGATGTGCTTACTCAAAATTGGATGTTTAGTTGCTAGTTGAGGCAAAGTGTCTATCTATGAATATGCCTATAATCTATGCTTCAATTTCAGGACACTGAGATAACATCATCTGGGGTAAAAAGAACTGTCAGATAAGTTGGCAATCGAAGCAGAATCGCCTTGTTTGAGCAACTTCTTCTCCCAAGGGTCATGAAGTTCCATGGTTTTCTCGTCCACGAATGGCGGATTAGAAGGAGGAGGCAACTCTTCGTCTTTCTTCACGATCATTTTTAATGCCTTAGACATGAATGGACGTAACGTTGGGATCTCTTGAGTGCACAAAAGTCCGACATGTAACACCCTCGCGACCTCACTTTTCACATTGATTGTATGGTTGTTATTCAACATGAAATTCGGATCAAACAGCTTCTCCACTATCCCACGTTGAAAGTGCTCCCACGCCTGTTAATATCATCGAAGACCAATATGCATTAAGTCCTTCAAGATTGAAAAAAATTGTTCAAGAAAAAAGTGTGACAAAATTTACAATGGAAACTAAGCTGTCTGTGTATTCGACGTGTTTGCTCCTGTTATTTTGCCTTCCAGTAACGATTTCGAGTAGAAGAATTCCAAAGCTGTAAACATCTGCTTTTTCTGTTAGTTGGCCGTGTGCTATGTACTCTGGAGCCATATATCCTCTGCACATATTGTACCAAAATTAGTTTTTATGTACTTTTACGCGACAAAAGTAGAACACGAGACAAAGAAATACTAACAATGTGCCAGCAATGGCAGTGCTTATGTGACTCTTGTCTTCTTGGAATGACCTTGCCAACCCAAAATCAGCAATCTTCGGACGGTACCTCGCGTCTAACAGGATGTTGCTTGCTTTTATGTCTCTGTGAATTATTCGAGTCTTTGTGTTTTCGTGGAGGTATACCAAACCTTCCGCGGTCCCTATGATTATATCAAATCTTTTCTCCCAGTTTAGAGCTTTACCTTTGATAGAATCTGTCAATTTAAAGTTATGATGAAATGAGTTTAGCTTAATTGGAATCATGAAGATTCATATAGCCGATCCCAATTTTTTTGAGACCGAGGAGTACTAGTGCTGTTGCAAAGTCCGGTTACTTACCAAATATGAAGCGATCAAGACTCTGGTTAGGGAGGAACTCGTATACAAGAAGACTTTCCGGTCCTGAGCAGCTGCATCCCAGTAACCTTACCAAATTCTTGTGCTCGACGCTATTGATTATGTTAACCTCGTTATAAAAATCTGCAACTCTGTGTTTGTTGTTGAAGAACAGCCTTTTGACAGCAATCTCTCTGCCATCTGCCAAAACACCCTGCAATAAACCGCGCCTCAGACTTTGTTTAACATGAGCACTTCTAGTATTTCATTACAACTTCTCAACCATTTCGTACCTTATAAACGGTGCCAAATCCACCTTGCCCGAGCTTATTGGCCTCATCAAATGACCCCGTGGCTTTGTCAAGAGTAGAATACTTGAAGTTCAAGCTGTTGTCATGAAGGATATTCACTAGTTTCTCCGCGTCATTTGCACCTATAAAGTTCAAATTTTCCCCGGAAAAGCATGAGTAGACCATAATGCCTCGAGTTAGTTCTTGAAAATTCCTTTCAGTACAGTTGTGTAAAATGATCGCGCGCTATATTCTTGCGTAAATATTATCATAAAGATACAATACATGTTCATAATTGATATCCTAATGACTTTTATCACCAATATGTGACACAAAAGGATTTACCTTTTCTCTTCTTCTGGATTTGTTTGTTCTTCCAGACATAAATACCAATGACAGCACCTACTCCTAAAACGACCACGGAGCTAACAACAACGACTACAATGACAACAGATTTTCCTACAATATCGTCATTCGAAAGAAAAAAAGACCATTTATCAGCTAAATTACGCGTTCAGTCAATAAATAACTGCCAAACCAGAACGAGAAAAGAGCAAAGATTAATACCTCCTGATGACGAGCCTTCACTGACGGAAATAGCATTGAGAAAGTTAGTATCGGAATACCTCATGAAGCATCCGGTGTACAAAGCTCTACCTTCTGACCAAGGCAAGCATCCCAACATGGATGCAGATGCATTTTGCAAACACGCTGCGCAGGAGTTTGCACTCAGCGTCTTCCAACAATCAGCGAGAACATAAGCTGTCTCGTTAGAAGGACCAGGTACCGACACTTGAGCACGTGCAGTACCATTATTAGTCGGTGCATTTACAACTGCTTGCTGAATGGCTCGCCTAGCGTTCTGTTGGAACAATGTACCCTTTGTCGTCCTGTTTTCACATGCATGTCTGTCCTCTGGACCTAAATACTGATCATAGAACGTGTAATTCTCCGCTCGCATAAAGCATCCATCAAGATAGATTCGCCCTCCGTTATAAGGGAAGCACTGGGGCAAAACTGTTCGCGCTTCAGCATAGCATAAGATGCAATCGAGTAAAGAAAGATCACCATAGCATTGGGCAAGTCCAAAGTTAGTGTCTGGTCCAGTGCCAGAAACTGCAACTCCATATCCTCTAGTTCTCATTTGTTGGCTTATAGTTTCCATAACTGCTACAAAATTTGGAACAAAAACTGTCGTATTATGCTCGAGTTGAGTATTACATGTGATCTGGACGGTCTGCGATCTTGGTTCACACACTGATGTATCTGGTAGAAGTAGGATCAACACAATAACACAAAGACTACACAAAAATGAAGGGGCTGCAGGTATCTCCATTTTGCCAAATGAACTGTACAACAGAGAAAACAATGTAAGAGGACTAATTGATGTAACATTAATCCGTCACTACTATATATCCTCAATCATCGCATCAGTCACTACCATCATTAGCTATCATTACTATCAACCACAATTATTCGTAGCCACCATCAACTGACAACCACTATCCTTAACCACTACTGTCAGCTACTACCGACCACCACCACAATCCGGTTCTCTTCTTGATATAGTATTAAATGAATTACGTAATTGTCAAATTTGGCCTTGGGCTTAACTCACACTCCAAAAGGTAGCTCAAAGGGAGGAGGAATGTTCACGCCTTACGAGGAGCCCAACCAAGTCCAGTGCGTGCAACTTCATGGATTAGGCCTTGAGCCTAACTCACACTCCAAAAGCTAGGTCAAAGGAAGGAGATTGTTCAAGCCTTATAACGTGCCCAACCCAGTTCGGTGTGTGTACATTCTTGGACTAGTGACGTATTTATATGGATTTGGGCAATCATCTCCTCTCAAGCTAGCTTTTGAGATTTAGTTAAGCCCAGATGTCATATTTTTACATAATAACAAAGTCGTATTCATTCATGTCCGGGCACCTGATCCACACTCCAGTTTGTGCCCAGGCTACATTGAGCTAGACCTGTTTATATGGGCTTGAGCTGAATTTTGAGGTTGAGTTAGACCCAACAGTAATATAATTTATTAATTTTTTAAATATTGACAAGTTTTATATATTCAAGTGTTCTCTCTTTCATTCAAAGGACTTTATTTCCTAAAGTTCCAAAAACCGAGATCTCTAATTAAAGACACGGGAAACATAGTTTTCTCTTATGTTCATTTACTCCTTCGCAAAATTTCAAGTATATCTTTTTGTAACTAATATTGAATAACGGTTCTGCACTAAAACAACATACTCAGTATAATCCCACGGTAGAATGTATCAAGCCTTAACTAACGAAAGTAGAGAAACTATTTCTGACAGACCCTCAATGTAACTCATAAACTAAGACATAATTTGCATATATAAGGAAGAAAAAAGAAAGGAATACTCACAAAGTTCAATCCTCTGAGCACTGAGCGCTCAGAATCTGTCGAATTTAGCCTCGACGAAGAGAGATTCGTCGAGACAAACTGATCAGCTGTTGTCTAAGTTGTAGAAACAGAGAAGGAAATGAAGAAACCAAAAAAAAAAGGTAATTTTTTTTTTTGATGATTGAATCAAAATGATAATGAAAAGATCAATTATATTAATTAATTTGTGAGAGAAGTCAACTAGAAAAAATAAGTGAAAAAAATGATTATTTTTGTGCATTTTTTTTCTAAAGAAAAGACTTTAAAAAAAAAAAAACAGTTGAAAATCAGCTATGAAGACTTTGAAAAGACGCGCCTCTTTTAACAGAAACTTCCCCTCCTTACCATAAGTTTTAAAACGAACGAGTTAAAATAGACTGAGTTAATAAATAATTGTTTTAAAAAAATGAATTGGTTTTGATATTTTTTTATACTCGTAAAACAAAGTTTTACAAAAATGATTTCCACAAAAGGTATTTTTTTTTAGCTCCGTTTTTT